GCACAAATTTTGAATGAATATTTTTTTGTTTTTCAATTTAAAAAATATGGTTTCCTTTTGCACGCCAGCACTCCTTCTAATGTTGCAGCAGAAAGTGAAATTATAATCCATCATCCAGCCCCATCCGACCATAGCAGAGAGGGGATATTACTATCTCACCACTGCTCCAACAAGGTTAGATGAATCCCCGTAACAGCCCTAATCATACACACACTTCATCACTGAGGCTAAACCACTGCACGTTAATTATGTAGACATCACTCAAAATACACTGCTGCAGCAGGCCCTGTGCCTTCGAGAGCTCATTTTTCAGCTCTATATGTGTGTGTGTGTGCGCATATGTGTGTGTGTGTCAGTGTTTGTGTGTGTGTCGGGCACTGAAAACAAAAGGTCAACCAGGTGGACATGATTTCAGATAGCCTGTTTGTTCCCAAGCTGTCCTTTAGGCAATTTGTTTTCCCTCCTGCCTGTGATGTAAACACCGTTTTACATACATAGAAGATGACTGAGCATATTTGTTAACATTTACTTCTCAATTTTTCTTGATAATTGTGTTTATGTTTGCACTTTATCTATATTTCTTATCCCCCCTCAAACACACACCAAGAAATAAAAAGATGCCTTCATTAAATAAATTAGGTTCAATGTTTATTTGAGAAAAAAAAACCAATATATATATTTTTTATTTTATGTATATGTTTTCGTGTTTTTTAGAAGACAAGACATTCATAAACTCCATCTACCAGTCAAACCATAGTACACTGTTTTCAGGTCTTCCCTCCAGGTCCCAACCCAGACTTTTCACCCCCTCTTCTGCCCCCTAGGCTTGGCCCATGTATGCCCACTCGACGCCTTGTTTTCCCCGTGTCAGTTTAATTGTTCACTGTCAGGGGCAGAGCAGCAGATAACAAGCTTAGCAAATGATGTCTGCTGTTGCTACACATTGATTAATATTTTACATGTTATTATCCTCTGTCCATTACCACAGCAAATTAAACTATAAATCACCCCCTCTGCCGGTGTCACCGGATCATAAATTGTCTCTCCCCCTAGCCGCACGCTGAGCCGTGCCACGCCGCACAAGGTCTTCTCTTTGGTGAGACAACAAAGTGAGGAAAGTGGCTGTGTTCTTTAGCCTGAGTTATGGACTAGTCACGGTCACCATATACATCAGAGCCGTGAAAAATGAGGAGTTTGTTCTGCTATAAAGCAAAAAGGAAAGCGAGCACCCTGGTGTTAAAAGTTTTTACCTGCGAGGGTAATATAATAACAAAGGCACTCATAAGCGGAGGGATGAGGGTTATTTGATTTGATGTACATGCCAAAAAAATGTGTAAAAGTCAAAGTTCTGGTTTTTAAATGAAGTCATGATTCGTAGAGCTGTCAACATTATTTTTACTGATTTTAAACGTCAATTCCTGCAAAATGGTTTTTAACAAAATCAAAATTCTTCTGAATATATTGCAGCTTTATTTGCATCGGTCTCCAGTCACAGTCTGCAAAAGCTGCTGCAGATAAACACCCTTTTGCTTCAGACTGAGATGCACCTGCTGGTGTTAAATGGAAATTCAGATGGAGCTGTAGATAAATATTTTTTCCCTGACTGTTTAGAGCCATTTTTCCCTGGATATCATCTAAGATATCAGATGACCTTTCCTGCCTTGTCATTTTTTTTCTCATTTTCCCCACGCCGGCTGGGAGGGATGCAAAGGTTCTCCACCAGCCGCTGGAAATCAATTTATACAGTCCCGCGTTGCATGTAGGGAGAGATGGGACAGAGCGGGCCTGATATAATGACACGGCCAATTGCATTGTGTTGGGTTGCGGGGGTCAAGTGGGGTCTGAGTGTGCCACGGATGCAGGCTTTGTTCGTGCGAGGGGGGCATTAGGCAGGAATTACACAGCAGGGTCAAATGACCCAAAACCTGAGGAGGGAGCCAGGCACCTCGGGCCCCCCAGCCCCCTCATCATCAGGCTGGGGAGATGAGAGTGACACGGGATGACACCCCAGGAGGAGGGGGGTGGAGAAACACACCCACTAAACACTTCACCTACTGATAGGTGCCGTTGACCCTTCCTAAATCTCATCATCCTCGTCCCAACGCCGGGGGAGATGGCGTGGGATTTTCTCTGACATCCCCTCTCATCCCTCTTTCCCCCGTTTTCAATCCTGACTCCCAGCCGCCTGAATGTCTCTCTTTTACAGGCTCACTCATTTGTATACAGACGCATACGCCTCGATTTATTTATCTATCTGTCTGGCGGATGTAGAGGATGTTCCCTGCTGAAGATGGCAATACTCACAGACTGATCCCCTGTAAGCCTGCTTAGCATCTCCCTGCAGATATAGTCCCTCTGCGTCTTTCAATGATTTATCAATTTACAATGTTTGTTAAGATGACTTTGCTGTGGCGTCCCAGTGGTTCAACAGCTGGAGGGCCTCACATGTTTCCCTGAGGCGGTTCAGATTCAAACATTGTGGTGCTGCAGGTTTTTGCTCTGTGTCTCATTTTTTCTTGTTGTTGTGTTTGATTTAATCTGAAACACAGGAAACAACGAGACGGTTCCTGCACTGACGGACGGGACGCTGTCGTTTGGCTCTGATGTCACTGAAGGCCCAGGATGTGAGAGTTGCCAGATGGTCCTGACCCTCCGACAGTCCAATGGAGTGCATAGATCTGAGGTTAAGTCATCTGACCTGACTGGCCGGTGAGTCGCCTGCTTCTCCCCATAATTACTGCTCAGACAGCCCAACTTTTTCCCTTTCCTGCTCTTAAATCAACACCAATCCATCCCTCAGGCCAGCTATAACCTCTCTCTCACCAGACATGACGTAACCTCACACATCGGTCCTTCACAATCCATGAGGTAGATGTGCGATTTGTAAAATACTCGTCAAAGCATTTGTCACCGTTTTTGTCGCACTCAAGAAAACATTTGAATCTTCCTGTCATAGTCTTGATCTATAAAACCACTACTTTATGTTTAAAACATCTAATACTGATACAGCATGGAAATATTTATAAAAGAGCACTGAGAGCGCAAAGGAATAACTGACTCGTGCTGTCACAGTGGTCCTCAAAATGTATGTTTTGCTCCGATCTGTTTTGATTTTGTCATTTTGCTTACATTCCTCGGGGAGGAGAAGAACAAGAAGTATGAAAATTGGAAAAATAAGATGTCAGTAAATACACGAGAAATGCCAAAAGTCGAAGTTACACTTTGGTTCGACAAGTGTATGTATTCTCGCAGGAAAACAGCGTCAACCATCAATGCACCAAACTTATGCATTCAGGCCCGAGCAATCCAAATGCAAACAGCTTTCTCTATCTCACCGGTTTATTCCGAAGTCAGACATGCATATGTAACTACTGCTGCCTGATCTAAAGAGGGTGTAAAGCACTCAAAGTAAAGAGGAACAACTAACGGGCTGAAAAAAAAGAGCATGGAAGAGAGGAAGAAATAAACAGAGTCATGAAAAAAATGAGAAAAGGAAGAGATGAAGATGAAAAGAGCGAGAGAAAGCAAAGGAGAAAGAAAGAGCGAAAGAGCAGAATGGCTCCTGTCAGCCGAGGAGCCACCGCAGTGAAACACTAACTGTAGCGACAGGCTGATGAGTCAGTGTCTGTTTAAATGGCAGCTTGTCAGGCCTCCAGCTCTGAGGTGGGCTGCCGACCTGTCAGGGCCCTCGCCACATTAACCAGCTGACCCTATCATCCTTAACATCGCTCCAGCACCCAGCTGCCTGTCACTAACTCTGCCATTTGGCTTTCCACAGATCTGCCAGAGAGGGCAGGCACAGCCACCTCTTAGTGTTGTTTATTGATTTCTGACCCGCCGCTTAATAGTTTTCCCAGTCCCCCTGAATGGCTTTTGTAAGCAATAGGGTTTGTACATCTCGCAGATCAATACCTTTTATATTTACAATAAAATTGAAACGGCTTCTTGGAGGGTCTCTCAGCACCTCGGCATTTGTCATCCTTCTGCAAGGGAAAACTATGTCATTATCTGAATTAAAACATTTATTTCTGATTAAGAGAGTGTCCTATCTCATTAATTTTCCCCTTTCCAATACAAGGGGAATGGAATCCTATTGATTTTTCTACTTTTTACACGTCTCCACTACTGGGAAGATAATTGAGAAGTTAGCCAGAATAAATGAAGTTTCTAGTCTTGCAGGGCAGCCAATACCTTGGAAATGTGAGGTGTTTTTGTGGGAGCAGGCCTTTAATTTTGTGCCCGCAGAAGACAGGGGGACTGAACAAATTGGATTAAGGCTGGGGATGGGGGCGGATGGGAGGGTGTGCGGAGGTGGTGGGAGGCTGGCCGGGGTTGGACCAACACTTAGTTTGAGTATGTGTGGATGAAGAAAACCCCGCACTTTAGCGATGATAGGAGCGTATCCATCTGCTCATTTTTACAAGACGCCTCAGGAAGTGCAAATTAAAGCGTCTTAAGGCCAATAATGATAAGTTGCCTCCCCCTGCTTATTGTTGAGGAGGAATTGAAAGACAGTAATCAATGTTTGAACTAGACCTTTCAACACAGCAGGGCCCATTGATTAAGCATTATCAAATTAATGAGATTGAATTAAGTTGTGCCTGTTTTTCATTTCGTGCTGGAAGAGCCAGTGGAGCTGGAAAATGTTTGAGTTTCGCAAAGATTTATCAGTGATTTGAAGAAAACTTATCATGTAGCTCGCCTTCAAATGATCAATATTTAATTGTCAGTAATTTGAGAATAAAATGGAATTTCCTGTTTTGATATTGATTAAGGAATTCATTAATAAAAAATAACATATGAGTGTTAAGTCATGAAAAAAATATTTGTTTTAGATGCACTTGAATCCCAATGGGCAAATCTGTGTTTCTGAAAGGTCTGGATGTCCTTTTACGTCCGTTTTTTCTCTCTGTTTATGATATCATATTTCTATTTTGCTCCTCGTGACAAAGAGAGAGAGAGAAAAGTCACAGAGTTGAAGCGTGGTTAAATGTTGTGGCATGGCCGGTGTGCAGATTTTGAGAAGACAGGGCCGTGTGGTCAGCTCCAGTTTGCACAAGCCCAGCGCGGCTGATATGGGGGTCGTGAGAGGGGTGACTGAGCACAGCAATTGGACCTCACAAACACTGAAAGAGGCCAGCGCCGGCCTACCTCTGATGCTGCCCGATCTTGCTTCGGGGACTGAGAGAAAATGTTGTCGGACTCGGAGAGGGCATCGTCCATCATGGCCCCGGTCCGCCTGTCAGCCTGCTGATTGTGGGAGAAAAGAGAGAATGATAAGAGAGAGAAGAGAGAGAGAAAGAAACCCAGGAGTCCACCAGGAAGGCAATTGTAAGAGAAACAGGAGGAGAGAAAGAAACAAGTAAAGGAGGAAGACAAGGAGAGTATAGCCTCTGTGCACATCAACTTACTCACTCCTTGGCTTTTGGCCACAGGGCCCCTAAACAGAAACACCTCTCTTCTCCATCCCTTCATTCTTCAACCAAATCTCTCCATTCCCTCTTCCCATCAAGAACACATCCCTCTCTCCTCTCTATTACCACATCCCTTCATTCTTTGATCCTCTGAAGCCTGATCTCTCCCGCTCTCACTTTGTCCAATGATCCCTCCGTCCTTCCATCCCTCCTTCATGGACAGCTGAGTGTGAGGCTGATAGGCCGTGGAGTGAGTGGGGCATCTGCCAGCGCCCTGCAGCAGAACCATCTCTGACAGGCCACTAATTCAACCCACCGGAAGAAAAAAATCTCAACCAAACACTCAGATTATAAGTCTTGAAGAAAAGGAGAGGAAAGTTTGGAAAATGAGCTAAGAAAGATGAAGATGGTGAATGCTGTAAAGGGAAAACAGGGAAGATGTGAAGATGCAAGAAGGTGAGTTTAACAGTTGACTGAAAGTGAAAAGAAAAGAAAAGGAGAACGAAAAATTTTGTTCTGAATATCAGCTGTCAATTATTCTGAAGTTTGTGGTTTGGGAGAAACAAAAAGACATCCAAGACATAGCAGCCAAAATGTCAAGATAATCTCATAAGAGTCAAAGAAATGATCTCAAAGTCTCTGGAATTTTGTCATGAGATGGTAAAAGTGTGTTAATAATATTGAATTTGAGACTTAGCACGAATCCAGAAAGATCTGACTGAAGGACAACCTTTATTACTTAAAGTAAAACTTGTGATTAGAGCTTGTTTGCTGTAAAAACCATTTCTCAAGACTGTGTTGTGGTGGAAGCTCATGTTTGACATTAGCCTAGCTCATCAGCCTTTTATGTAGTAATTAGTGTAGTGTAGTGTAGTCCTCATCAAGCAGTTTATTTTAGCCTCAAAGTTAGAAACAAAGCCCCAAAAATGTCCATTTTAAATTGGTGAATGAGAAGTTACAGAATACTTTGATATGGCTCTACTTAAACTACTGCTTTGGAGATAAGGAGTTCGCCTACACAGCAAGTGCTTCATATGGACAAGATGGCCATGGTGCCAAACTCACAGCCTGAGTTATTATCCCAGTTAAGGCCCGATGCTACAAACTGAATGGAGGTTTGTGTTTCTGGTGCCTTTAAGTGGATTTTAAAACATGCGGCTCTACTTCGAGTTAATGTAGAAAACCTTCATGACTGTACTGTAACAGATAATGCTGATAAACATGCTGACAGTGCATCAGTAAAAGCATTTACAAATTCAAAGCAAGGTGTGCAACATGTAAAATGTTGTTCAAGAGAAGAAAAATACACCAAAATTACAGTAAACCCCTTCTGTAATAGCCCAGGCGTTAAAAAACCACCACTCCACCTCTTTCCATTTGTTTATCTGTACAAACGTACTCATGGCCGACCAGCAGCAGTGTTCAATGAACAGCTTAATTTGTGAATGCATTTCTATGCCGAGAGTAATCTAAGGAGGGATGCAGAAAGGTTGGATACATTCATCACAAACACAAGCTTAACATAAGTGAAAAATTACAGGATTCCCAATGACCTTCCAACCAATCAGGCCTGGTAATTACACTCATTCATTACGAAGGAAGGGGGAGATGGAAGAATACAGAGATGACCCTTCAGGACAACAAAAATGTTTATAGATGGGAACAAAGAGGAAAATGCTAATGGCTCAGCTATGTGGCTGGATGGCCCTGAGACAATGCAGAATAACAATTTCCCTTCATACTGTAAGCTCTCCAGAAACACAAATAAGAATCTGTGTTCACATTAAAATGACAGCTATTTGTTCAGTTACTTACTGTGGGATACAGAAATACTTTTTTTTACTCCAAATATGTCATATGGTTTATAATATCAAAGTGCTATATACTGTGAAAATACAATTTGAACATTTGTTAACCAGTTTAAAAGTGAAGCTACAATAATGTGCCCACTAGATTACAAATCAAACCATACAGAGGCCACTCATTATGCTTTGTTTTAAATTGTTCATATGAAATAAATAACTTGTTTTATTTCAAATATATGATTCACCAATACAACACCAACACAGAGGCAGAGAGGCTGTGGGATCACATCATTAGTATGGGTGGATAGTTTTTCTTGATCTGTTATCAAATACCTTCTTTTATTCTTCATATACAGTCCACAGGAAAAGTTTTTCTGCTTATTATTATTGGAAAATGCGTCAATATGTAGTCTACTTAGAGCAGCTCACTTATATGGATTTATATAATGTCGGGAAACTTCTGAGATGATAGTGAGAAGTTAAAAGATAAAACCTCAAAACACAAGTTTGAGTCTGAAAATGTCTGTTAGCTTCGATCTACCGTCCAAACCTCATACTTAAAGCTCCTGTAAGGAACTTTTTGCTTGTGATCATTTCAGAGCCCCTGTGGACAAAGCAGTCTTTGCTAATCTTGTCCTTCACCTGCTTAAGTAATGTCCTCTGTCATCCATCTGACTTTTGACAGTAAATTAAAAAATTTCTTGTTAATATTTAATGTGGGAAATGTACAAAGTGTGCTTTTTTAACACTTCACCCCTTTACAGCAGTAACAGGCATAAGAAATTCCAGAATAAAAACAGTCAGTCCTATTACAAGTTCTAATTTCATGGCGCCACCTTTTAACACTTTTTCCCCTCATGTTCTCATAATCATGTTTTTAGAGAAACAGTGATGGCAAACTGATACAGACTGTGGAGTGAAGCCTTTAATTCCGCTGGTAGTGCATCCCTCTTGTTTAAAAGATGCGGAAACAAAGACGCACATTATGACATGTTAAGTTTGTCACACAAAGTAAAAAGTATCATCAGTAGGCCAACGACATTAAGGATTGTGTTGGTGTAATAACTGAATTAGATTTATCATGTCTGTATTAGGTTATTGTCATGCGTCAGCAGCTTGTCTTGTACACAGTTTCCTGTAAACTGTAGGCGGGACTATATTATTTTCCTCTTGTATTTTGCTTGCCTAATAGCTAAAGCACTGATAGCTTGCTTATTTCCCAAGCACTAACAATAAGGAGATTCCTCGCTGACTTTAAATCAAATCACCATCACACATAAACAGCACGGCGCTCCGGCGTTGAACTTTTCGATTCATTCCATTTCCCAGACGATGCTATCCGGCTGCTTTTTTCTGATTATGCAGATGATGCACTCTTTTTTTTCCCCCCTCCTTCATCGATATGTGTTTAGGTGTCATTTGCAGTGGATGATGTTCTCATTGCTCAGTTTACCGCGCCTGTAATAAGATCACCTGTGGTATGAATACATTTTCCCACTCTGCTCGTGTATTTGGATTTGCAGGGTAAATGAGTTTCTCTCTCAGCTTCGGAGAGAGCGAGGGAGACAGAAAGAGAGAGGGAGAACACATCAAGCACGTTCTTAGATTCACTTTGGAGCCTGACACCTCGGCGCTCGGTCAGTAAATGGCTTTTCTTCAGCGTGAGGTTGAAAAGGGGTTTGTGTGTGTGCGCTTGCACCAACATCTGGGGATCTCTCCGTGTGAGTGTGTATGTAGCCACAAGACGCCATGTGTGTTTTCCGATGTTTGTGTGTGTCTTTTCTAAGTGTTTTTTGGTCAATATGTGTGTGACAGTGGACAAGCTTGATTTCACGGCCACATCTACATCCACGCGGCGCCCTTTTTGTATTCTACCCTGCTAGCCGAGCTCAGGCCTCAGCTGTCATTATTCCCTGTCCATCCACAGAGAAGTTATAGTTGGCAAGAAACCCATCAGGTGGGCAGGACAACGGATAATTGAGGTGATGATCGGAGCTGTTCAAAGACAATTGATAGTGATGGAGACAGGGGGAGCGGGGAGCTCAGCCGGCTGACCGAGCTCTCCGGGGGCTCAGGGAGCACCACACCAGAATGTGGAATAACACCCAGCATGGATATTGCTGATTTAGTCGCAAAAGAAATAAAGCCCTCGTCTTGTTTTTGTGGAAAATTAAACAAAAATATTCAGCTTTCAAACAAGTAAAAAGCTCTTCCCTGCTTTATTCACTGAGAAAAAAGTTGCAGGTTCCTTTTCTGACAACAGCAGCACAATATGTGCTGGCCCCAAGCCCACCCTGAGCTTTATTAATAGCCCAAATCCCCTTCGCCAAGCCTGCCTCAATCACACAGCAACATATTGAACTAGCAGAGAAAAGCCATGACCCGAACATCATATTTCCACCTGCTCCAATCCGAGTGACAAGTTGCCAAACTTCAAAATCTCCCAGAAAACCCAGTTAAGGCAAAGCAAGTTGTAAAGGCGTTTTTCATAAGCCGAGGGACAAGGGGGAACAAATGGAGGTTATTACTTTCCTCCATTCCAAATAGCCCCCTACTGTCTGGCTGAAATAGGGCTGGCAGAAAAAATGTCTGTATATCTCACATCTATACCTGACATCATACCTCTGGATTTTTCTATTACCCACCGGCACCTTTCCCTCCTCATGCTCTCAATTTTTCTTTGCCCGCACGCAAATGTTATCACCTCAACGTCATCAATTGTGTACATATAAAATCAGCCGTAAAGTTAGCTGATTGAGGAGTTTCTCCAACATGGATCATCAAAGTCCTTGGATGTCTTTGCTGAAAACTTTGGATTTCAGCAAACCTCTCAGCCGTGTTTGAAGCCTCTACCTGACTTGCATGCAGGTGTTGTGTTTCTACTAATCAATGAGTGATTTGACTCCAATATCAATAACTCCATCACACATAAAGTGACACCTACATGAAAAAAAAAAGTCATAGCCACACATAAACACACACACCCGCGGTGGTGTTATGTTACAGATGTGTCAATAACTCTCTCATTCGTGCGATGACGCACACACACTGTCGCGCACACGCTGTCACACACACGCTGTCACGCAGAGACACTGTATCGATAACTCAATATTTCAGGTGTCAGTCTTGTGTGCTGTGCCATGCCCT